CCCCCCCCCCCCCCCTCTAGAGTGTCTTACCTGAGAATGGACTCATCTCACTGGGCATGCTGAGGAACAATCTGCCTTAGTTCCGTCCTGCCCAGCTGGGTGAGGTCCCCTACTGTCACATCTAGTCCATTTCAAAGTTTTCAATAAGGAATAATAACAGTGGGGCTCTAAAAGCAGTTTTCTGTATTTACTGTTAATATGACATAAAGCATATTATGGCAGCTCAACCCTATAATTGTGTTTACATTAGGGATGCATAATATATTGGTATCATATTCATGATAACTGTTCTGTAGTGGTGATTTTAAGCTGATATCGAATGCTTAATTGTATCTGCCTATTTTAAGATCTAGGTCATCATCTAGCACTAATTTTTATATGAAAATTCTGTCATTAATTAGTATTAATTAAAGTATTTTTCATGAAACCTGAGATATTCCTGTGCTTCCACTTCTCATACTGTTGACAATATGTGAACATTTAGGTGGAACTGACTTGCAGTGGAGGGACAGAAATCTCTGATTTAATAAAAATATTGTTTATTGTAAAATATCTTTTGTTTTATTTATCATTATATAATTATAAAAACTCTTATGAGTTTGGAACAACATGAGGGTGAGTAATTGATGACAGAATTTAAATTTTTAGTTGAACTATCCTTTTGAAGATATAGAAAAATAATATGCCAAAATTTTTACAAGCATGATAGAGTGATTTGGTGTGCACATATAACATGCGCTTGTACATAAAAATGAGTTAATTTTCATGAAAAAGTACAACAATCTTTATTAATGTTTTTAAAGGCATAGTAAATTCTGTTTCAGACCAGACATGTTAACTTGATTTATAACTCTGAACCTCCTCTGTTATTATGAGGACTTATTTTCTTATTCAAATATTATTTTTCAGAACAAGTTTCAAGGAAAATTAAACATTCCTAAACATAAAAACTCCAAAACATTGTTTTGGCAGCGATGCAGAAGAACCATTTTTAGTTCCCCAAAGAACCTTTCAGTAATCAGTTCTTAAACGAACCATTCTTTTCTTAGTGTGAAGAACATTTTAATTAATAATCTAAAGAACTTTTTCCACTAAAAATAACATTTTGTGGAATAGAAAGATTCCATGTATCTTAAAGGTTCTTCATGGAACCATCAATGGCAATAAAGAACCTTTATTTTAAAAGTGTACATGCTGTGATGCCTAAATGCCCAAATTCACTTAACATAAGTATATATCAGTTACCAGCCATTAAATGAAAATAATTACCCGGAATTTCCATATTGCTGTATTCATAATTCTTAAACTACATTTTACTGTATTTTACTGTATATGTGTGCATTATAAACAGAGATAGATTATCTGTAAGAGTGTATGCCAGAGTTTTTATGTGCTTACCATCATGTCAAGGGTTCCTGCCCCTGCCTTGATCACTCAGACTTGCTTTTATGCTAATCAAAAAGGTCATACCCTCTTAATGGTCAAGATTAAGATTTTCTCCTGAGAATTTTTTTTCTTTACTTCTGATAATTCTCACTGTAAAGATCAATTGGTATAAAATTCCCCTTGCCAGCACCCAGGATCAATCAATACCTTGAAAGGCCAAGGCTGCAGCAGAGCACAGCTGTAGTTCTTGTGTTTCCCTGTTGGGGGCATTACAGAGACAAAGTCATGTACAGACCTCCTAAATCAAACACAATTTGTCTAAGAAATATGATGCACAGGCACAGATTCAGCGAGGCCTCACAGTGTTGAACAAGCATCCTGTGAGGCTGCTTGGACCCCTCATCTGTGTTTTGTGATGCTCTCATTTGGGTATGAGTGGAGAACATGTCTAGAAGTGTCAGTTCTGTTCTCACATTTCATCTCTACCAGAGAGCCATACATGACCATTGCTGGACATGCCTGCTGTTATGTATAGATTAGAAAACAAACCTTTGATCACCCACAGTTCAGCATTACATGTTTTAAACATGATTTAAAATTATAATTATTACAGCATCTTTGATTGCCCTTGTCACTCTCTATGCATATGTCTGTTTTGACGCACAAGAGAAAACTCGGTTGCTTCACTAACACTTTTCCCTCCCACTCTTCCCTCTCCCCATCTCTTTTTTCACACACTCTTTCTTTCCATTTCTCACCATTTATTTTCAATTTTAATTTCACACGTTTTCTCTTCCACCTCCAACCCTCCTCCTTTCCTCCACTACCTCTGTTTGCTTGACTTTCACTCTCTGCTTCCTGGACTGCATGACTCAAGGAGGATAAAGTGGTTAGAGTTTTTCTTTTCTTTTTGCTGTGTGCTCTGCTAATGTGATTTGAGAAAACTGTGTTACGTCTGAATGTGCACAATCACAGGATTGAATGGACTAATTCCATTTCTATTGCTAATATAAGAAGTTGTGTATGTACATGTGTGCGAGAGCGTTATTTGAATCTATTGCAAAACCTTGAGTAAAAAAGCAAGTTAATTTGCTCAAAAATGTTACAATTATAGGAAAAAAAAAAAAAAAAAAACCTGGCAGCTGTGGATGCCAGAAATTCACCATAAAAACACCATGACAATGTTTCAGTTATTGTGGGACGGTATATTGGTGCCTGTATGTTTTACAACTTATAACAGTGATATAATGTTAATATAGCTACTTGAATTATCTTAAAATGTACTGAAAACCACCAAATTAGTAATACAGGTGGTACAATAGAAAGCCTGATGAATCATCATGACTCAGAGTTTGTCATAAGTGGACTATAGACAGTGCACAGGTTTATACACAAAAACAAAACACTAGCAGGATAATACACATAACACTAACAATGCAAAAATGTTAACCTAATAACAGAATATGCAACAAAATATAACATGATGTACAATACTGATAACAAATACAAGAAGAAACAATTTAACTTTTGTGCTGCACTGATTATTTTTTTTTTTTTACCTAATTTGATTTAAAAAAAGAATGGTCTACAGAAAAATTGCTTGTAAATTTCTCATGCTATATTATTATTACCAAATCTGGTCCCTGTCAGACTCTGTTCCGTGTTTTGTGGTTGTGTTCCTCATGTGCCTTCCTTTCCCATGTTTAATTTGTCCCAGGTGTTTCCCATGATGTTTCATTGCTCCCAGGTGTGTCTCGTCATCCCCTCCTCCTGTGTGTATAAATAGTGTTCCCTGTGTGTGCTCCAGCGTCCGGTATTGTTTGTGTCTACAGTGCTACGTGTGATTCCCCGTGAGGATGAATAAATTCCTTGGTTTCTGTACTCTTGGTCTCCTAGTTCCTTGTTCATTGTTCCCGCACCGTAGCAGATCGTGACAGAATACCGGACGAAAAAGTAAGCGGCACCCCCTCTCCCCGTTTTGATTTCCGTTTTTTGAAAGTTTTTGCTTTGTTGTTTTTCCCGTGCGTTCCTCCACGTCCCCAAATGGAGGAACGATTAATGTTTATCGCGTTGGCTCAGGCGAGCCCAGACCCCATCGTCTTTGCAAGGGCGTTCGTGCCGCTCGCCCTCACCAGCTCCCTCGAGGGGGAAACCCTCGCAACGCTGTTCCGGATCGGAATGACATTCCATCATCCCACGAAGCTCCCAGACACCACCGACCTCGACTGGAAGGAGACAGTCATCCGGTGTCTGGAGAGTCTCCGATTCCGATCCGGAACCCCTCCGCCGGTAGTTCGCGAGTCAAGAAATCCGGCCGTTCCCGAATCCAGTCAGCCGGCAGTGAATGTGGCAAGCCGAAAGGACGCTAATGTGACAAGCCCGAAAGACGCTAATGTGGCAAGCCCGAAGGACGTTAATGTGGCAAGCCCGCCATGCATTGATGAAGCCCCAGAGCTCGCTCCGGTGTCGGCTCCAGCCCCAGAGCTCGCTCCCCTGCTCCGCCATGGCCTCCCGAGTCCCCGGCTCCGCCTTGGCCTTGGTCTCCCGAGTGCCCTGCTCCGCCTTGGCCTCCCGAGTCCCCGGCTCCGCCTTGGCCTCCCGAGTCCCCGGCTCCGCCTTGGCCTCCCGAGTCCCCGGCTCCGCCTTGGCCTCCCGAGTCCCCGGCTCCGCCTTGGCCTCCCGAGTCCCCGGCTCCGCCTTGGCCTCCCGAGTCCCCGGCTCCGCCTTGGCCTCCCGAGTCCCCGGCTCCGCCTTGGCCTCCCGAGTCCCCGGCTCCGCCTTGGCCTCCCGAGTCCCCGGCTCCGCCTTGGCCTCCCGAGTCCCCGGCTCCGCCTTGGCCTCCCGAGTCCCCGGCTCCGCCTTGGCCTCCCGAGTCCCCGGCTCCGCCTTGGCCTCCCGAGTCCCCTACCCGGAACGGGTACCGCTCTGGAGGCCCACTGTCCCGTGTCTGTCCTGAGGGACCTCCAGAGTGCCCAACCCCCCCTCCCCATTGGATGTTATATGGCGTGAGGACACGCCTTTTGGAGGGGGGCATTATGTCAGACTCTGTTCCGTGTTTTGTGGTTGTGTTCCTCATGTGCCTTCCTTTCCCATGTTTAATTTGTCCCAGGTGTTTCCCCCCTCTTATGCACATCAGTTTTTGAGTGAACATTGTCAAAATTATCCACAAATAATACTTTTTCCACTCAAAAAGTGAAACTTTTCACTCAAAGTTACATAAACTCAGATTATTGAAGCTAATGATCAATCAGTTACAAAAAGATATACAAGTCAAGTCAAGTCTGCTTTATTGTCAATTCTTCCACATGTACTAAGTACTGTACTAATTGTACTAATTGAAAGAAAACAAATTGATGAAAAGATTTAATCCAAGATTTGATGATTGATATAGCATAATATACTGTAGCAAGAGATGTATAAGCAATTTTTTGTAGGTTGGTCATTTTTGACTGGGAACACCATGTGTAACAAGATGGGAAACCAAAAAAATATTAACTTTGTTTTTTTTGGAAGTCATTATACCCTGTGGGAGCAAAGTCTGTAATTTTTAGTCCAATGTGATAACATTAGTGTCTTCATGAAAAAAGAAAATCCTCAAATGGGTCAAAATCCCTCCTTGGGTCTAAATGACCAAAACACAACATGAGGGTTAAATAAAATATAACCATGTGTGATGTGCCATGCATAGACATCTGGGATGTCCTTTTCAGTAATTCATACTACTTACTTGCAAAAATATAAATTTGATAACATTTTTCGGTATATGGTAGGGTAACGTACAGTTAAGCTATTACAAGGTTTTTATTGTAAAATTTTTACAACTGTTCCAAACATTATTTACAGTGTACTGGCATTGTGTTGTAAAATTCAGTAGATTTTTTTTCTGCTATATTGAGCACAAACAAAATTTGACTAATATTGCGCCCATTATTTGTCTTCTGTTCATGCAAAGTGTCTCATAGGGAAAGACAGGGTAAGACATTCTGAGTATTGTAGATTCTGCATGGGCAACACCAGTTCTTTCCTCATGAGAGCCAGCTAATAGGAAACTAGCATGTGTTGGCTGAACCCCACCCCCCTCCCTTCCTTGTTGCTACCGCCAGGGATGCCGAAGTCGTTGCCACAGCAAGGGGGTTAGGGGAATAGGGTATTTGGATTTGTTGGAATATTGATGTCTCAAAACTGGTTGCTCTTTAGTCAAATGGGTTTAACTTAATCATTATGTAAGCTGCGCTTATATAATTTTCAGCAGTGATGTTCCGGACATGGAATGGATTCCCTTTCACTTAAAGTGCTACCAGTGATGAGAGAATGCTTATCTGTGCATGTTCACTGCACCTGCTTGTGCCCTGGGACTGCAATAGGCATGCCACGGGGTAAAAGTTTAAGGTTTTAGCACGTAATGTTATAGTCGCAATTCACTTTGTTAGTACTGATGAAAGCACTCAGAGAAAAATACTTACCCTGCACTCCAGTGGGCACTTGCGACTTGTGCGTTTTTATGTGTGTGATGTTTCCTGTCAGGTGTCTGTGTTTACTGCTGTGTTTGTGCTTGTTGTCTCTTTCTGAATGACTGGTAACGGTGTTGAGTTTATGCTGCTAAAATACAAATATACTTCCTTTCTTGCTTTTTTAGCATATATATCTCTGAATGTGGTGTGTGGTTGCAACTAATCAATTTGCTAAAGAGCTCAGCTTTCATGTAGGCAGAGTCTTTCCAACAGTAAGCCCAAAGTATGCTTCATTCTGTACTTGTACACTTATCATATATAAAAATGTTTTGCACTCAGCTGTTGCGGTCTCACAAAAAATGAATGATTGATGTAAGCACATTTATAATAAAACAAGCCATTTATACACGTACAACACTGAAAAAAGGTGTAGGATTGACTTCCAAACAATTTTCACTCAGAAAGTTCTAGAAAATATCATAGATAATTACAAAGAAAATTCAATTAACACATGTAATGAAACATGAAATATTAAAGTAGATAGACTGAAATAGTATTTTCTTGTAAAACATACTAACATAATCTGTTTTGTTTACAACTTAGAAAATAATTTTTGTACAGTGTATGCCGAAGATGAAATTTTCATCATGCGCACTGTATACATACCCTAGCATGTACGTGTAAAAAACTAAAGTATACTGTGGGCTTTAACCCATTTTTTATCATCAAGATGTGATTAATCACAGAGCAGATTGGACTTGTACCTGAACTGCATACAGTATGCTAAAATTACTCGCTAGCGGAAATGTTTTGGAAAGCTAATGCAAAGATGATTCACGAGAAACATGCTTGTGGCTCGCTAAAAAGATAGAGAAACAATCTCTTCCTAAAAGACTTTTAGCGCAAAAACTGCTTAGCTTAGCCATTAGCCATGTTGTTAGGGAAAGGAATCAGTTTTATTTACCAGTGCAACACCTCCCTTCTGACCAGCAGCAGGCTAGGGATTCTATTTATCCCTGTTCTGTTTACACGGCGTGCACAAATGCTGATGTGCGCACATGCTATTCCTCCTTTCAGTCCTCCAGTAGTAGAGCTAGCCAAGCAAATGTGAAAGTCCTTTAGGAGTCTGTTCTGTGGATTGATGTGCGGCAGGCCGGCAGCGAGTGCAAGGATGGTATATTTTCTGAAACAGAATAGGGCAATGTAAATATTGGGAATTATGGTTTTCTAAAGATCAAGGAACAATTTGGTTTCTCATGACATGACCCCTTTAAATTAGTACTGACAGCCTAAGCAGCCTGTCACAGGTGTCTGTATGCTTTAATATTAAAATTCCCTTGAGTGCTTCATTGGATCCAAGCTGTGCGTGTGTGTGTTTGTGTGATATATGAGCAAGTTTTCTCTTTGGGGTGTGCAGTGGAGACTGTGTCAGCAGATCTGTCAGTTTTTGAGAGGAAGGCAGTTATTTTTCATAACCCATTTCTTCTGAAGTAGCACAGTTGAGCCCCAGTCCTTTTCCCCAGACCACTGCAGATGCAGTAGACTGCCTAATTCCTCTCTGTCCCACCTGCCTTCACTTCTCTTTAGTATCAAACCTATGTCACTGCTTTTGTTCTTTACAGCTAGTCATATCATTGTATTTACGTATTCATGTTTTTATTTGCTCACTTTTAGGGCTGAGCAACAGAACCAAAAATCTATCTTGGATAAGTTTTAACATCTATCAATAAGTATATACTACTATATATACTACTATATGAAAAGGACTTCATTGAACATTTTTGACTGATGCAAATGAATCACTAAATTCACTTACACAAACACTGATTTACGTAAATGAATTCAAACTTAAAGTTTAAATAAGAGAAGCTATTAAAATATCTCAGTTTGCTCATGCTCACAAATTTTATGTTTTTAATATGTTTTTACTTTTACTATTACTATAATGCAAATTAGACATTGAATTGAATCAAGTTTTGAATTAACTGACACAAACCGTTTGAACTGATTTACAGAAATGAATCAAACTTAACAGTGTTTACATAAGAGAGAACATTAAAATATCTTAACATGCTCATACTTCCAAGTTTTATTAGCCATTTTTGTCTGTTTACTATTTGATATATGTAAGAGGCAGCATAAGGACTTCACTGAATATTTTTGATGGATAATATAATTAATTATTCTTATCAAGAATGTTTTTCTACTGATGTTTAAATAAGAAACACTATTAAAATTAACATGCTCAACTCACAACAACTCACATGTTTTATGAGCCATATTTGTCTATATATAGTTTTACTAATACTTTTAATATAAGAAAAAATAATTTTTTTTATAATTTACTGACTCAAACCTTTTAATTTTTAATTAGAGTTTATGTACATTTAAATAAGAGACTTTTTAAAAATTCCCATAATTGCAAGTTTTATTATAATTTTTTTTTTACTTTTTATTATATGAAAAACCCCACAAAAGGACTTCAGTTAATTTTTGAGGTATAACTGCTATTGAATCAGACTCATCATTGACATAGTTAGTTTGTACTGATTCACACAAATAAATCAAACTTAACTATAGCATAATTTTGTACTACTTTTAAATCACACTTTTAAATTCACTGACATGAACAGTCTGATTTAATAAAACTAAACAACTGTAACATAATGTTACTGTCTTTTAAATAAAAGTACCTAGTTTCTAACTAGTCATTAAGAAATAAAAAGGGCAAATAATTGTGATATTCATGACTCTCTGTACTGGAGACTCACACTGTCCTCTGTACATCTCCTCTCCTTTCACTGATTTGGTTACCATGGAGAACAGTATTCACCAAAGCAGGGGGTGGCTGGCACACTTATGCCTAGAGAACAGTAGAGATTGTATTTACACCCATATAAATGTTAGTGCTGGGCGGTATGACCAAAAATTTATATCACTGTATTTTTCAAAATTATACCGGTTTCACGGTAGGCACTAATAAATGTACACACACGCACACACACATAGCTTTCCTCTTCCGTCTCTCTCATTCCATTTGTGCTGACCTCAGGTCTGCAGTTAAATTAAATTAAACTTGTTTACTGTCTGATGTTTATGGGGTCTTCTGATACTTAGTTACTAGTGATCTCCCTGCACAAGAAAATCCTATTCATGCTATTCAGGAATACAGTGAAACCAATGTTCCTGCCCTCTCTCAGATGTAATCTCTCTCTTTCTCTCTCTGTCTCTCTGTCTCATAACAATGGCCAGGTCTTAGTGGCCTACATTTTGAAATGTTTCCCTTTTCTCTTCAGTTCTCTAGTTGGGAGAGGAGCTCTAGAATCAAGCCTTTGCAAGATGAGAAGCTTTAATGGCTTTAGCTACCCTGGATATTGTTGTGAACTGGCCTTTGGAGAAAAAAAAATGAATCAGAGATGAAAGTGAATCCTCCATTGTGTGTACGGCTCGAATTTGATCTAATTCAAGGATTAAAGCCTTGGATTATTTTACCCATCCTCGACTGCACAAAATTAGTGATGAGTAATCTTGCCATCTAGCCATCTGCGTCTTTTACGAAGCATATTCAAAATTATTAGGTGTTGATTTCCTCAGTTCCTACTCAAACCCATCTAAACATGATCGGCAATACCAGTTTTCACCTATATGTGTGAATTACTTTCTAATTATCAATAAAACCTTGTCGTATTTTTCCATTGAGACAGACTAAAGGTCTGTGGTCCATCTTTTCAAGATCAGTGTTGCAGTGGTAGTTTCCCAGTGGCTCTGAGGGGAAGAGTGCGGGCAGCATTGTCTCGTCACTGGATTGAATAATGGGAAGGGCTAGCAATAGCGCTGTGGGAGTAGCAGGGATTGCTAATCCTTCCTGAGAGTGTTTCTCTGGCTGGCTGACAGCTGTGGGCCTCTGCACATCTGATTTACCTCAGATTACGCTGGAGCTGTGCCAACTGGATCCAATCAGGCCATGATGCTCTCTCGTCCCTTCTCTCTCACTCTCCCTCATATCCATCCCATCCTAGAACAGCCTCTCTCCTCTTTAACATCAGATCAACACCGAAATGCGACGCATTTGTCGGAAAGGTATCTCGCACTGGCGATTCTTAAAAAAAAATTATTCTGGGTGTTCATGGAGTTGAAGGTTGACCCTGTGAGAGGGGATCCATTATCTAGGAGGACGCCACCATGTGAGTAGCATGAAACAGTTAGTTTCATTTGATTCCTGTATGAAATATCAAGCATCTGTCATAACATTGCAGAACTATGAGGCATTTTTAGCTGCATCTGTTGCGAAATATACTGTTTTCGTGCATCATATAAGCTCTTGCTTTCATAACCCATTTGCGACTGATCATCAGGCGCTAAAGATGACTAACGTTACAGGCTTTTCGGGGGATGTCTGCTTTTCCGTTCTCACACCATTCATCCGATCGATAATACATGCAGTGTTGGTTGCAGGGTGTGCATGTGATCTACACAGTTCTGTATCGCACAGACCTTTGGCTTCCTCGTAGAATCACTGAGATCAGTAAAAACAATAAGGTCCTTCTTGACCAAATGTTTCCTGCCGCCAAGACAGCCTTCATGTATTACAATAGGAGTGGATTTACTGTCATTCTAAGGGTGCTTTAAGAGCCTAACTCTAGATCAATAGATTGGACCTCTGTGCTTTTAAAGCTGTGAACTTGTTGTCAAGGCGAGAGCTGTTCATTTGATTTAGCATTCCCGCTAATCATGTCAGATCAGGCCTGTCTAGCTGGCTAGCTAAAAAAAAGAGAGAGTGTAAGAGCGAGGGTGAGAGAAATATGGGTAGAGGAAGTGAAGAAATATGGTGTCGGCGGAGGTATTTTAGGCAGCCTCAGCCATCCATCTCATGAATGAACCATTACAGGGCTCAATAATAGGGCTTCATTGGGGAAAAGGAAAGAGATGGAAGGAAGCAGATTGACAAATATGAGGCTGATGATATAATAACTTGTGCATTTGCAATGCAAAAATCTAGCCAGATGAAGAAAAAGGATGGCTGATTTCTGTTATTTCTTATTCAGAAGATAGTTAACCTCCATTGTAAAAATATACTTTTGATTTAATTTGATTTCTTCTTGTTTATATTTGTTTAGTATTGGTATTCTAGCAGTGGTGTTTAATTAGCATGTGAACAGATGCAAAGTAAAACCATGGTAATGATACCATCTACAGCCATATGTGTCTTTTTGGCTGTTGTGTCACTCCTTGCTCCATATTCTAGCACCTTGTGCTACTGTAGGATCTGTCACGGTGCGTGTGGAGAGATGAAGCGAGGACTCAGGTGCAGGATGAATGGTTCTTTCTTTTAATAATAAAATGAAACAAAAACAACCTAAAACAACCCCGAGGGGGAAAAACAGACAGGCAGGCAGGCTAGGAACTGCACTACATGCAGACATAACACACACAATGAAAAACGACAGATCAGCACAGGATTACAGACACCAGGAGAATAAATGGGAAACCAAACGAGGAGGCTAATGAGGGAGACACAGGTGGAGCAACTTAAACAATAATGAGGTAACAAGATGGGCGAGGTCAGACAATAGACAGGAGAGAGCACATGGTACCAAACAAACACAAGCCATGTGCTCACAGAAAGACAGTGTCATCTGGTGGCCATCCTGGGCACACCAGCTGAAGACTGTGACAGGAGCATTGCAGTTTTGGAAACATTTTACAATAAGGTTCAATTTATTGTTTCTGATTTATGTTACTTCCTATTCAAAAATACACACATGCAATGAAAATTATTCAAATCCTGATATATTGTTATATTGTTCAAATGTAAGCTTTTCTAAAGGTTCTTTTCTGAGTTTTTTATTGCATCTATAACCGTTTAGTAGCATATTAAAAGTGATAATGTTGAGTTATAGGATTTATTTATTCATTCATTTATTTTGTAATGTCAAACTTATTCAACATTGCTGTTTATAAATCACTTATTTCTGTGGTATGGTACAAAGTTGTGTTAAAACACAATTTAGTATTTGGAAACTCTATAACAAAACTGAATTAGCTTAAGTTGTAAGATACATAAACGCCATGCATTTGCTAAAGTTGAGTAGCAAATATGGCCAAGTCAAAAGAGCTCTCATAAAAGCTATAGAGAAGAAACAGTTTGTTACATGAGAAAGTCTATGGACTGAAAGACACTAAAAGTTTCTAGAGACAAAGTTGGCAGCTTTATTCATTTAAAATGTGTTGTACCAGAAAACCTTTGAGGGCATTGAATAAAAAGCATACAATCATCATGGGGACTAAAATGCTTGATCAGAGCAACTGAGAAAACCCCTCAATTTACTGCCAAAGACTTGCAAGATGATCTGATGATATATTGGTGAGTATTAGTTTACTCACCAAACCCATAAGACTTTTGTTCATCTTCGAAACATAAATTGAGATATTTTTATTGAAACCTGACAGATTTCTGTTTGTCCACTGAAAGTCCACAGTGTTATGTTTTCAGAAGAGACACAATTGTTTTATATGATGAATATGTTTAATTTAGGCCTTCAACTGAGCAATGCACATCAAATATGGTAAATGTAAGGAGAAACATGCTTGCTTGCAGTATGAAAACCTGTGAAGTTAGTTATCTTGTGTCATGCAAGCATGTAAAATGTTTCGCAAGAACCAATGAGGTTTGTTCTTATACGTCAAGCAAATATGGTTGCCATATTTAATGAGCTATGTGCGTTGCTCAATACTTTTTAATGTGTAAAAGTTTTGGTAGCATGGACTTTCAGTGGATACAAAAAATGAGAGAATATTAAAAATATCTCTTCAGTCGTGTCCCAAAAATGAACAGAAGTCTTATGTTATGAATCTGAAATGACATGATGACAGTTTTTTTTTCTTGATTCTCTTCATTTGTGCTCTTAGTAGACCTCCAGTTATTAAATTGCACAGTCTTTCAGGTCATTAAAGATGCCATAAATTCAGAGCTTTCAAGCTTTTTAGCTTTCAGATTATGTTTGTTAGTAAATATCTTTTCATCCCAACTTCCTGTTTCAATAAGAACTAAGTTGAAAACTGTGCTTTTCAATCTATGTATGGGGTTTTTAGGTACCATCAGCTTTCAAGGCTTGCACTGTGATCTACAACCTTTGAATGACTTTTCAAAATATAGCTGCCAACAGCAATTAGTGCAATCCAGCAGGTGTAGGAAACTGTGAAGGAGTAGATTGACTGACTTGAAAATAGCCTCTTTTGTACCTTATAGAACTTGATTTAGAGTGGTTGACTTGATTATGTAATATTGTAGCTCATATTTATACCTGCTCAACATTGTCAGTTCATATTCCTTGCCTATTGCTCAGAGAAATTGCTAGATTAAAATTATATTAGCTAAATATAGTTAACAAATGTACAGTGTTTGATAGTGTGTGGATGCACTGTATTGTATGCATTTTATGTTTATATATGTCTGTCTGTCTCTCTGTCTTATTTTAAATGTATTTTTTTAAATACTGTAAAAGAATGTAATTCGAGTATTCTGAATACCAATATATTAGCGATTCTGTAATCGTGATCATTTACAATGATCATCAATCTCTGCCTGCCTTAAACACTTGTATTTGTCTATGCAGGTGATGTGGGTATGTAACCTGTGCAGGAAACAACAGGAAATCCTAACTAAATCAGGAGAATGGTTTTCATCAGGGCCTGGGGGGAGGCCTCTTAGTGTGGGCGCTCCCCTCAGTGTCCCTGAGTTGGAGAAGGACAGGAAGTTGCGCTCCAGATCACAGGCTCCAGTTGCTAACGACACTCTGCCACACAGAGCTGGTGCTGGTGACCCCACCAAGGGAGCAGATACGATGCTCGCTTCACGCTCCCGCAGTGAACCACCACGAGACAAGTAGGCCAAAAAACATTACACAATTTATACAAATGCCAGTCCTAAGCTATATTTCTCAAAGCCTGCAAAGTATGCAATGCAGAGGTGCATATTTATGGGTGGCAACTGAAATAAGGTTTTGTATATTGTGTCAACTAAGGATGGGTCATAAAGGTTGTCTTGTTACCTTTTGGGTGAGATCAACTAGGATATATTTTTTTATTTATTTTGTATTGCTGCAGGGTAAAACCACAATAAAATGACCATCCCTGCAGCCTTACATGATTCACATCTGATTTGTATCCATATTCCACTTTACAGTAAGGTTCAATTTCTTAATATTGGTTAGGTGTCATGAACTAACAATGGACAATTTCATTTTTAATTCACATACACTAATTGTACATTTTTACCATTTTAAAGTGTATAAATTAAAGTTAAATTTCACTCCAAAATGAAAATTCTGTCATCATTTACTCACCCTTGTGTCATTCCAAACCTCTTTGAGTTTTGTTTATCTTTGGAACACAATTGAAGATTTAACCGACATAATTGCTTTATATGATTAATATATTTAATTAAGGCTTTTACTAACATTTAAACGCTGGTCATCAACGTGGACATCAGACACATCAAATACAATAAACAAACCGTTCTTGCTTGACGCACAAGAAGCTCAAACATGTTTGCATGACACAACAGCAACCCCCAAAATGCTTGTCGAGCAAGCACATTTGAGCTTCTTTATAGATTTATACAGATTACTTTTACAATAATGTGTAGTTTATGAAGAATGCATGGTTGTGTGAACTTTTAATGAATGGCCAAAAATAGCTAATTTCAAAGAGCAAATAATATCTACATTTATATTTAATTGTATTATGAACAAATATGAATTAACAATGAACAATAGTATATTTATTAAGATTAGCTCAGAATTATAAATGCTTCAAAATGTGTTATATTGTCAATTGTTGCGGTTTGTTGTTAATTCATACCGAATGCATTAACTAATGTGGTCCCACTTTATATTAGGTGGCCTTAAAGGGATAGTTCACCCAAAAATGAAATTCTGTCATTAATTACTCACCCTCATGTCGTTTCAAACCCGTAAGACCTTTGTTCATCTTCGGAACACAAATTAAGATATTTTTGATGGAATCTGAGAGCTGTCTGACCCTGCATAGACAGCAATACAACTGAAATGTTCCCAAGTCCAGAGACATAGCAAGGAGATCGGTAAAATAATCCATGTGACATCAGGGGTTCAACCGTCATTTTACGAAGCTACGAGAATACTTTTTGTGCGCAAAAGAAAAAAATATAACAACTTTATTCAACAATTTGTCTCCTCCGCATCACCATGTAGCACCATTTTAGAGAGTATCTTGGACGTAAACAGCGTATGCTGTTCTGTGTCAGCTGCGCCACACCGGATCTGTTTCCTACGTTGTTGTGATTTGATCTGAATGAAAACTGCGTTTCTGTGTGGAGCAGCAGACACAGAACAGCATACATTGTTTACGTCCAGCCAGGGCCGGAGTGGGACTCATTTTCAGCCTTGGAGTTTCATGCCTTAGACTGGCCCACTTATTTATCTTATTTTATTTTTTTACTGGCCTTTTTAAGTGCTATTATCCATTTTTCATCTATTATTTTTTGCTCGCATATCTCCAACTTTTTTTTTTTTTAAACAAGGTGCCGCTGTCAGGGAAGTCAAAAGATAATTACGTCATCATTAGGGTTGCCAATTAACTTCAGAAATGGAAAATAAGGGAAAATTGAGATTCTTTATCTTTTATTCTTTAAGAAAATAGTGTTTATTCTTGTATTCTTGTAGAAAATAAGTGTTTGTTCTTTAAAAAAAATAAGGGACAGAATAAGGGACGCTCCAAATATTTGTACTGTACCATAATGTATGTCTGCCTGCAGTCAAATAGTTCTCAGAAATAATCACAATTGTTTTGCTTAACCTATTTATGTGCAATTATTCTAAAAATAATTGTAATGTCATACAAAAAATGTCATCGGCCTGAGTAAATTGTACCTATATAGAATTGTGACTTCACAAGTGTAGTAAGTTAGGAGTTGAAAATACTGTGAAATTACTAATGGCATGAAATTTGAAAGCGTAACAACTGAAGGTCTATGAAATGTCAATGGCATTTAAAGTTTTGAACTAAAAAATCATTGCAACCATATAGCCTTTGAATGAATGAAAATGCATATTTTTCAGTTAAAGAAAACTTAAGAGTGTGGGCTGCTTCTGGTGCTTGGATTTGTAGCCTACTTCAATAATGAGGTCCAAGAATACGCTAGAAGTTATTTTTTTTAAATGTATTTTTTTCTCTCTCTCTATTTAACTGCATTACAATGAAAGACGTCTTCCCTCAGGTAGATTGAATGTTGGGCTCATGATCAAAAGTAGTTTTAACAGCTTTCTTATTAAGTGATGAGCAGAGAGATGAATAGATTCCGCTTGGTCTTAAAGCCTATCTCAAACGGCTACTTCACAAATAAAACAATGATTTACACAAAAAGAATGATTAATTATCAATTGAGAATTTGTTATTGATATGGTCTGGCGAAAATAATAATATGGGCTGTGAGAAAATTATAAATAAAAAGAGTGTGGCTGCTATGAGTGCAGGCAGTCTAGGGAATCCTCCCGGTGCTCCCGATTAGCCAATCCGACCTGCGTCCAGCTGATACTCTCCAAAATGGCCAAAATGGCGCTACAGGGAGGAGACGAATTGTTGAATAAAGTCGTTTTTTTTTTCTTCTTTTGCGCACAAAAAGTATTCTCGTAGCTTCGTAAAATTACGGTTGAACCCCTGATGTCACATGGATTATTTTACAGATCTCCTTGCTACGTCTCTGGACTTGGGAACATTTCAGTTGTATTGCTGTCTATGTGAGGGGCAGACAGCTCTCAGATTCCATCAAAAATATCTTAATTTGTGTTCCGAAGATGAACGAAGGTCTTACGGGTTTGAAACGACATGAGGGTGAGTAATTAATGACAGAATTTTCATTTTTGGGTGAACTAACCCTTTAACTACTATGTACTTGCATCAAAAAATACAGCGTACTTATTGAGTTCATATTGTATTGCAAAACACTTTTACTGCTATTGAGGTGGGATACGGGTAAGGTTAGGTTAGGTTTGGTGGTACGAGTATGTTTAAGGGTGGATTAAGATGTCAGAGATGGGTCAACAGTGTAATTATGAATGTAATTACAGAAATTAATTACAGATGTAATTGCATGCAGGTATTTTTAAAATATAAGTACAACATGTATGTACTCAATATGTGCATTCTACCAAATTGTTAATTTAAATGTAAGTACATACTAGTTAAGGCCACCTAATATTAAGTGGGACAACTAATGTTAGTTGATTGGACCTTATTGCCATGTTTCAAGATGGCATGTCAGATTCTTAGTAGTTCCAGGGTTATGTGAAGCAATCCAAATTGTAGAGGGCTTTGTTAAGACCAAATAGTCGGCTAGTCATTGGGTTCCCAGAACTGAATTTTCAAAATAGGCCTATGTGGTGTTACATATCCCTACTGTCAACATACAATTTGTTCTATTTTAAGCTGGACATGTCAACAAAATCTGTTTATCCTGACCTGTTTTCAACTGGCAAAATGTGGACTGCAGCTCCTGCCTTATAATCTCTTTATAAGATGACGTCTGTTGCTTGTCTTCCTATCAGATGCATATTCAACTAAATCCTTTTTGGATTTGAATCCCCACAATTTAAAACACAGGGGTTAACAGGTGTTGTGCTATTTATTATAAATAACTGCTATTGTAGCAGTTGTGAATGCAAACTGGATGCAGCACTTGGAAATTCCAAATGCTATACAGTATCTCAAAGTCTTTCCCACTTCTGTCTGCTGAATAATAGGAAGAGACCAGTGTCCCTGCACGAGCAGAATGGAAAGGTGATGGGACGTGGAGAGAGAAGGCGAGGCCCAGGCCGGTTGTCATCACAGGCCTCTGAAGACCGAGCTCCAGGTGAGAAGCGTGACAGCAGACGATTGGAGAAAGGCCACTCGCAGGAATATCCCGAAGATGAGCCCACCCATCCCGAGCGGCGAAGGAGACAGGAAGAGGAAGAGCGAGAGCGTCAAAGACGAGAAGAAGAGTATCAGACTCGGTACCGCAGTGACCCGAACCTCGCACGCTACCCTGTCAAACCGCAAAAGGAGGAACAGGAAATGCGTATGCATGCCAAAGTGTCCAAAATGCGTCAGGAGCGTCATCACAGTGACCTAGCCATCAACGAAGTTGGATTAATGCAAGATGGGGGTGAGGCGGCTGGAAATCGCATGAGCAGGCAACGAGTGGCTAACAACGAAGACCGCAAAGCCCTTATAGAAAACCATCGAGTTTATTCTGTTGACAGGACCGTGGGGGTTGGCATTGGGGGACAAGGATCCCTCGCTAAACAGGGCCATGGTGGCCCTCAAGTGGGCCCTACTGGGCCCCCAGACCTCAGGGACGGACAGGACTGGGGCCCAAAGGGGCATCTGGAACCTGGGTCCGCAGCTTTCCTGCACAGGGCTAAGCGGGAAAAGGCTGCAGAAATCATGCGTAAAGATTCTTCTCTTAGCTCGGACCAATCTGAGTCGTTACGGCCACCGCCACCTAGAGCCTATAGACCCAAACGAGGCCTCAACAAAAGGCAGATGTCCATCAGTAGCTCGGAAGAAGAGGGCGGCTCCACGCCTGAATACACCAGCTGTGAGGACGTGGAGATCGAAAGTGTTAGTGAAAAAGGTAGGTGATCTTTATGTAGCTAATTTTATTGTCAAATAGCCACAAATTCACTAAACACTCTTATTTAAATACACAATGCAGCGGTAAATGTGGTGATAAGTTAAAATTTTTATTTTAAATTGAATATTTTTTAGTGATCATGGCAGCAGTAAGTGTACACAGATTGATGGTGTGGGACACTGGGCCATGGGCACTGACACTATTTTATTACACAAGGTTATTAAAGTAGCAGGTGTTTTAAACTAAAATGAAAAACTGTCTTTGATTATGAAAGTTGATTTTCTTGATTTTCTTAAATGTAATACTGAAAACAAATGAACAGTGCAGTTAACTAATTCTATATTAGTCCAAATAAAGTGTATACACTGCCATTCAAAATTTTGTGGACAGTAAGATTTTTTTTTTTTTTTGAAAGAACTGATACTTTTATTCACCAAGAATTCATTATATTGGTCAAAACTGAAGACAATTATAATGTTACAAAATTTCTAGTCTATATTTCTATTCTATCACCTCCACAAAAATATGAAGCAGCACAACTGTTTTCAACACTGATAATAATCAGAAATGTTTCTTGAGCAGCAAATCGGCATACCAGAATGATTTCTGAAGGATCATGTGACACTGAAGACTGCTGTAATGATGCTGAAAATTCAGCTTTGATAACAGTAATTAATTACATTTTAATATACATTCAGCTAGAAAACAGTTCTTTTAAATTGCAATAATATATAACAATATCAGTTTTACTGTATTTTTGATCAAATAAATGCAGCCTTAGTTGAGCTGAAGAGGTTTATTTCAAAATCATTAAAAAATCTTGCATCACAGGAATTTTTTCAGTTTTCAGAACAGTTCTTTTAAATTACAAAAATGTTTCACAGTACCGTTGTTTTTACTATATTTTTGATCAAATGAATGCAGCCTTGGTTGAGCTGAAGAGATTTCTTTCAAACACATTCAAAAAATCATATAGACACACACACAAAACAGATTCACTATTTCTCAAAGTGCCTTAAAACACAGAGAAAATGCAAATCAGGAATAATTCAACAGTAAAACTGCTACCCCACACTTTTAATCTTAAAAGTGCAACTTTCACTTGTTCGGCTTCGATGAATGCAAATAATTAACATCTTAAACAGCTCTGTTTTGCATTTAGTGTGAAATGCATGGTCAGCTAGGGTGATGTGAATGTATGTGTGTGCATGGACACTTTCACTGCAGCTTTGATCAGTTCCAGTCAGCTCCCAATGTTATAATCATATATATATATATATATATATATATATTGTTCTCAAAGTTTATAACTGTTCCTTCTGCATAATTCTCACATCAAAGCCATAAATAGCATCATGTTACATACGTCATTGAAGCTGTTCAACCATGATGATCAGTCCTGAGTCTGAGGTCTGTGAAACAAACCCTGCTGATTCATGCAGTGAAGCTCCATTTGTTTATTTGGAACATTTTTAGGGCACCAGATTTGGGAATTAGGTCAGCAGCTCTCTCACATAAAACCGCTGAGTGACTGACTGGCTGGCTTTCGTCAGTCCTGGGATGCAGCATGTTCCATTTGGGGACTTTTTCATATTCATCCTTGGGTAACCCATTCCAGCTCTGAGCATGATTACGCTTTGGCTCTTTCCATTACTCTCAGCTGCAGGTCACAGAATTGTGAAAGTCCCTGGCATTATGCGTTTGTATTTAATCAAGCTCCAATTTTGTCAAATTATTTAAAAATTGTGAAAATGCTATTTATCTGTGTGTGTTTAGGATCCAGAAAAGCTTGCTCTGAAATTAGTCTTTGGAAGACAAAGTTTGACATTTTATTCCAAAATTCACTGTAATTTTCAACCCGGAATGCTTTCAAACACAGTACATAATTTGAGACTTAAATGATATTGTAAATGTTTGTGTTTTAAAAGAGTTTATGTTGAAGTTGACATAACTTCTCTCTATCACCCCCGTCACCTCCTTTATCCTGTCCTAAAAATGCAAAAGACAGTGATTGCACCAACACTGGAGATGAGATAAAATAGAATCCAAATATTTTGATTGAATTTATTGATTTGATGCCAATATTGGGCTGCTGGTTATTTATCCTGAAAAAGTTATTTAATTTAACATTGGTTTTATCTTTCCTTGGTAACAAGAATGAACACGAATCTTGACATATTGTTTGTGATTGTTGTTGTGCAGGGGTATTTATTAAAATTGAGTAGGATTTAGGATTTATACTTACAAAAATGTTAACATAATTTTAAATAATTGTTGAACTCAATATTCAATGTTTTACTATATTAGCTTTTAAGAGAAATTTCTTAAAGTTTTGCCAGTTTTCATAACGTATAGAGTGTATTCATTTATATGATAAATATAATGATTTAGGAAACTTGACGAGGTAGAATAGACCCTTCACATGAGTTGACATTCTCTTAATATGTGGTTACATGAAAGTGCAATAATTCTGATGAAATGTAAAACAAAATTTGTGATTGTGATTATAATTTTTGAGCAAAATAATCATTATCAGTTAACCATTATCATGCAGCCCTAACTCATAACAAGTTATTCATATTGCCTTAAAAAGTTATGTCTTGCCTTTTTAGGATAATATGAATATACACTGCAAAAAGTGGTAACCTGCATTGTTACTTCAAAGAGGTTTTTCTACATGATTTAACTCATATAAAGTAGTTTTGGTTGTATAAATTAATGTAATTAGGTGGATGTTAATTCAAATTTCTGACTCAAGTAAAACTGGTTAGTTTAGATGTTACCATTGTTAACTCACCATTTTTTTATTTTATTTACTGTAGCACCATCTTTGGCATTGGCAGTTGGGTTTGTAATGGCAGATACAGAGCTAATGTGACTTCATTCCTGATAACTAGGACAAGCAAATACTGGACAGAAGCTTGTAATGTCAGTGATTGCCAAGGGAATAGCTCATGCTTCATTCAGTATGTGCGGAGGGTCTTCTTGGGTACTATACATTAGAGTTGGAAGACAAGTTTTATGAATGTAATCAAGATGATCAAATGAGACTGTAACATTTTATACAGGCTATATAGTATCTTGTTTGGTGTTTGGCACTTTAAACATCTACCACCTTTGTTGCTGAAGGCAAAGATACTTTGTGATATGCTCCCCTTAAGTTAAATGAACTCTCTATTAATTTATAGCATTAGTTTTCTTCTCAAGTGTAAATCTAGCTAGTATGAGACTATTCTTATACACAGCTTATCAAGTGAGAAAATTCCCTCTTCCTGTAAGGTAAAGGTCAAATTCTGGGTCATTAAACAACCACATGTATTGATTAGGCCTGTCAAAATTACACATGCGATTAAATGTTTAACACAGTTCATTTTTCTTAACGCTTTTAAGGCATTTATTCAATATGACATCGGCCAAAATAATTGACAGGCTGAGATGAATAAAATCCTCCTTTGTACATTGTAATTATATATGCACATACATTTTCTCTAGAAGTGTAATTCACATAAAATTGCTGAAACCAACTGCAAAACATATTTTCCTGAAAAATGTAACTGAATCCACTAACATGTTAATTACAAAAAAAGTTTGTACTTACAAAAAATTTGATGAATTTCAGTTAAAACTAAAAACATTAATAAACATTTTAAGGACTTAAAAGTAAAATAAACATTTTGTTTTATTATAACTGAAATTAAATAAAATATTAAAAACATGAAAACTTGTTTTATTTCAGCTAGTTGCCAACATTTGATCTTTTTTTATTACGTTATTAAATTAATTAAAACTAAATAAACTTAATAAAAACTACACAGACGTGTTTACAAAAAATGTAAAACTTTAACCGAAAAAATGTCAGTGATACTAAATAACACTTTCAAAATAAGCTACGCAATTTTTAAAACAGTCCTCCATTACGACTGTCATCAGGCTTCTACAACTCTATTTTGGATTAATTACTGTGTTCATAATATCAATTTCTATTCTGCAGGTGACTGGGACTGTCATCCTCTGGACCCAACTGTGTGGCATGTAAGTATTTCAATCATATATTGCAGTCATGTATCAGTGGCGGCAATGGATAATAGCAGAAACAGAAGTTGTTTGATTACAGTGTTTCTGTAGCTGAACTCACTGAATTGTATGTTCACATATACATGTCATGTCAGCAATGTGTGTTCAGCATTAATGGGACTAAAAAAGCATTGTTCGCTTCCTCACAGCATCCAGTGAGCTGGCAGCCATCCAAAGAGGGAGATCATTTGATTGGCCGGATCACTCTAAGTAAGCGCTCCACCATGCCACGAGAAGCCGGATCCCTGCTGGGTCTGAAGGTGAGCTTGTCAATGGCAGTTTACACTAGCTAATCACATCTTGTCCGTGTCTTGCACTTGAAGGGATGTACTACACTAAAGGTGCGGTCCCATTTACTGTATTGAAATTTTACAGGCGAACGCAGGACCAGATGTGACAAAATATAGTTAATAATATGGGAATAATGATGATGAAATAAACATCCAAAGCTATTCTGCCAGCTAGCAAACAAACCAGCCCTAAATAACAGCTTTCCTTACAGCTTTTTTCTTTATAATTAAGGTGTAATATTATGCAGAACCGGCTGAGTAGCCAGAATGAGGACCTTGTCCATTGTGGAGCTTCAGTTTTGCTTTATTGCTAAGTTATGAAACTCCACCCACACAGAAGTCACTGCAGAAGAGAGGCTTGCTTTCAGTCTGCGCTGCAAATTTGGGTCAAAGTTCAAAAATTTGAACCCAAAGTGAAATTGGCATAGGGGAATTTCTTTGCCTCCAGAAGTCCATCAGGCGAAATTCTTCATTGCACTGATTCCCATTAAAATGACTGGATTTCACTTGCTAAATTTTGCAACGCTAAATGTGACTACACCTTAAAAGGTCCGCTAGATGTCTTTTTCTTGTCATTATTTGGTCTTGTTATGATATATAAAGATAATAATGACAAGGGTTGTTATAGCTCTATTATGACAACTCTTGGAAGATTTTAGCATGGGAATGACTATGGCAATGTTGATGTATTTGGTCTTGACGGAATAGATCTGCTACGCTGCTGCTGCTGCTGCTACTGTTGGTTATTGATGTTGTTGTAGATTATTGCTGCTGCTGCAAAGCAAGTACAGTAACTTGCTACTGCCAATACATACGCCGATACTGTGCTGTGAGTATTTAAAACAAACTGCTGCTGCGCAAATAGCATATATAATAACCCGTAGCAGATCTATACAGGTGGAGCTGGGGAAGGTGGAGGGTTTCAGAGTAACTCTGAAAGCACACTGTGAAATGCTCTAGTGAGTACTAACCAGCCATTTAAATGTAAAGCAGTAAGCTCAGTGGCTGCGCATGCAACATGAACCAATCAGCTTGTGCCAAGTAGTTTAACACTGTGAATAATATCATCAATTTGCATTAACGACGCATCAGCCTGCGCCATTTAGAGTTTCATGACAGAACTTGGCATTTACTACAACTAAAACCATAAAACAAATGTGTTTTGCTTTAGTCAGTAATCAGACATACTTGTAATAATCAGACATACTTTTTGTTTGTTTTGTCATCCTAGTAAATTATGGATGCTTCTTTACCCTACTGCATTTATGCATTTGACAGACATTTTATCCAAATTGACTTGCAGTGCTTTCAAATGATATATTTTAGTGTTGCTAGCACCATGCTCTACAAAATTTCTCTGTAAAGATGCTGAAGAACAGCACTTAGTTTGTGAGTAAACATGGTTCACTGTGTCATCGTGTTCATTCACTTAGGCCAGGGGAGAACTGGTTTCTCCCAAGGTTTTTTTTTCTCCATCTCCTTTCACCTGATGGAGTTTGGGTTCGTTGCTACTGTCATCTTCTGGCTTGCTTAGACAGCACTGACGCTATTGGATGAGAACAAAACTTGAAATGACTCTAGCTGAATAACGACACTGCTGTTCTCAGTAGAGCTTCTTATTTCTGAATTGAACTAGTTTAATTACTGAACTGATCTGAATCAAAACTGTACTAAACAATGACACTTTTGTCTTGCTAGAGCTGCTTTATGGCAGAATTTTGGATTTGCATCACTGATTCTGTTACTTTCCTGTTTAATACCATAAAGCTGTTTTGAAACAATCTCTATTGTATAAAGTGCTATAAAAATAAAGGTGACTTTACTTGACTTGACTCGTCTGTCCTGTCCAGGTGGTTGGTGGAAAAATGACAGAGTCAGGGAGACTGGGGGCCTTTATCACCAAAGTAAAGAAAGGAAGTTTGGCTGACATTGTAGGCCATTTACGAGCAGGTAATAATTATTCAATTTTGACTGTCTAATTTTGTAAGAAAGTTGCAGTATTTAAAAATTGTATTTTGACCTTAGCTTTATGGATGTCTTCTGCTAGGTCTTCGTTGATATTTTTGGTTGCATTTCTACGTGTAATTTTTCACAGCTCATTATTCAGTCAGTCTGTCTATGCAGGATGCTGCCAAGTGCTACATTTTTTTTTTTTAAATTTCAGGCGATGAGGTGTTACAGTGGAATGGAAAGGCGTTGCCTGGAGCAACTAAAAAGGAAGTGTACAATATTATTCTAGAGTCCCAGTCAGCACCTCAAGTGGAAATAGTTGTTTCCAGACCAATTGGGTAAGCTAAACAAACCACAAAAAAATGAGCAGCTAGTTTAGAAATTAAATAAAGAAAACAAACCTTTGGACGTATGAGTGACTACAGTGATTTTTCTTCCTGTTGCATGTTAAAGATGTATTCAGCGAATTCTGTCCAAAAACTTCTTGAAAAAGGTCTATAGAGCATATCAGTAAGTAGTATCTGAGAATGTTCTTCTTCCTAGTGTCTCCATTGTCATCCTACATGCTCCAGACCCTCCTCTCACCCTTAAAACTGTTCAGCCATTGCATTAGAGCGGTCCTTCGGTTCCCTATTCTTTCCTGTGTCTGGACAGTTTTGCTATGACGTCTCAAGAGGGAATGTGCAGTCAAGTTTGTGTGTATGTATGTGGAAAAACTAACCGAGAGAGAAGCTAATGATCTGTCAACTGACATTCTTTTCTCCTGTGCTTCAATTTTCTGTTTCCTGCAGAGAAACTCCAAGACTTCCAGGAACATCACATCCTCCTCTAGAATCAAGTAGGTTTTGTGACTTTAGTTTCAAAAGATAGTTCACCATAAAGTGAAAATTCTGTCATCATTTACTCACACTCGTGTCATTTCAAACCTGTATGACTTTGTTTGTTACGTGGAGCACAAAAGGAGATATTTAGCGGAATGTGATTAAAATGTCACTATTGACTTTCATTGTTTGACACAAGGGCAGTGTTAATCACCTCAACAAAATTATTTTCAAAAACATTCATTAAAGGTATAGTTCACAAAATGTTTTTAATTTTGTCATCATTTACTCACCCTCGTGTCATTCCAAACCTGTATGTTGAACACAAAAGAAGATATTTTAAAGAACCAAACAGTTGTTGTTTCCCATTGACTTCCATGGTAGGGAAAGAAATACTATGGAAGTCAACGGGACATCAATTGTTTGATCACCAGCATTCTTCAAAATATGTTCTTTTATGTTCTACATAAGACAGAAAATCATACAGGTTTGGAACAACATGAGGGGGAGTAAATGATGACAAAATTATCTTTATCGAATATGACATGACAAACACTACGATTAAAAATCTAAATTAAGTACATTTCACCATTAAGTGTGCAATACATCACAGCTGTATACCTATTATGTCAACTTTTTGAACTTACAGCTGGTTCGAGTTCTATAGATGAATCCCAAAAGATGGACCGTCCATCCATCTCTGTAATGTCACCGACTAGTCCTGGGATGTTGAGAGACCTCCCTCTGGTACTGCCAGGCCAGCTGTCGGTAAGCATGGAGAGGGGGAAAACACTTTGCAGAAAAAATATTTAGACCTATTTTCTCACCTGAAAAGGAATGTGGTGTGTGACACAAGGTTGACATATTTTATCTGTTAGCTGAGTTATAAAAAAATGTATTGCCAACACTTTAAAAACTTGGAGAAAGTGATATGTTTATTTGTTATTATTATCATTTTTATTATTATTATTATTATTATTTTTACCAAGGTGAAATTATGGTATGATAAAGTGGGCCATCAGCTTATTGTCAATGTCCTACAAGCACGAGAACTGCCCCCTCGACCAGACGGACGACCCAGAAATCCTTACGTCAAAATGTATTTTCTTCCTGATAGAAGGTAAAATATTTAAAATGTATTAATAATAGTAATAATATTTAACAATATTATTGTTTTACTGTATTTTTGCTCAGAAGAGAAGAGACTTTAAAAGCACTAAAACTGTAAGACTAGACTGTAAACTTTTGAATGGCAGTGTAGATTGGTGGCCTCAAAAATGTTTATTTTTTATAACTATTTTTTTTTCTGTCTTTGATGATATATTCGTCCATGCACTAGCTCTCTACTGTAAGATCTGACTTGCATTTTCCATTTTGGGTATTGCTGAGTATCTGAAATGCATTACATGCCAAAAGATTAAATGATAAGCAGGCGGAAATGGAATCTGCAGACTATTTGTGCTGATTTTTGGGATAAATTTGCAAAATTTTGCAGACTGCACACACTCTTATAAGCATACTACATTCGTCTACATAGTGACAAGAGCAAGAGACGGACGAAAACGGTGAAGAAGTGTGCAGAGCCAAAGTGGAACCAGACGTTCCTGTATTCTCACGTTCACCACAGAGACTTCAGAGAGCGCATGCTGGAGATCACTGTTTGGGACCAGCCCAGAGTCCAGGAGGAAGAGAGTGAATTTCTGGGAGAGGTGTGTGTGCTTAAACTACAGTAGTATGTCCTGACAGTAAGATATCAAGGTATCTATATCTAGCTTCAAAACAACACATAATATGTACTTGTGTTCCATTTTCTTGACTCCTCTGGTATGCATAAGAATAGTTTTTCAAACCACCTGAAGTTTTTTTTTTTTAATAAATCCCAATCGGTGGAAGCATAGTAATATGCTCTTCGAAGTCCATTTTGTTTATATGCTAATTTATACATGCCCCTAGTGTGCAGTTGCTCTGAAGCAGTCGATTGATGTTTCTCAGGTGTAAAGTGTATCTGGTAGTGCTTTGGATTATTTTGGCCTCCAAACAGTTATTCTTTCATGGTTCACTTTCCCCTTTTCTGGCTTTCGTTTTGACCAGATTCTGATCGAGCTGGAAACAGCTCTATTGGATGACCAGCCACATTGGTACAAATTGCAGACCCATGATTTGTCATCCCTACCATTGCCCCAGCCGTCCCCCTGCCTCCTTCGCAGACATGTTCATGGAGACAGTCCAAGTAAAAAACTGCAAAGTAAGTATAAGCTGGTGTATGTGTGCTAACAGTGTGTGTTTGTGTCACTGTAAAAAGTGAGGTGTTCATAAAAAGAAATGAAGGCAACAGTTTGCATTGCTTTTTTTTTTTTTTTAAGTAAATGACTTACAATATCTTAAAATTTGGGTTTAGATTACTTTAAATCATTATGGACACAATTACCCGTTCAGGGAAATATGTTTTATAGATGATGTCCTCAGTTGAAAGTTAAAATTAAGTGATGCAAATTGTTTCCTTTATTTACATGGTTTTAAATTGGCCAATATTATGTGCTTCATTTAATGTTTTCTTTGAGAAATGTAAATGTTATGAAGAGCAAACCACTCGATATAGACAATCAACTGTTAATTTTTTTTTAAACTCTTAATTTTTTTGTCTTTTGATGAAAAAATCATTTGAATTTATTTCATCATGTTAAAATAAGTTTACTAATTTTAAATTTAAGACAAAAATATTTTAGTTTACAAGAATCAAATCAAACCGAATATGCAAAAGTTTATTTATTTATGAACACTTGAGCTCCTAAAATAACATTATAATCACTATGATGTAGGGCTGGGCGATATAGCTAAAAAATGTATCAACGATATAATGTTTCATATCGTTCGGTATCGATAA